AAACCCACCGGGGCCAGGACGCGAACCGCAGTCGACTACATGGGAGTCCAGCGACATAGCCATTACGCTAACTGCTGGTTCCCGAGAAGTGAACTTTTTTTTTGAGAGGTTTTTGCTATAGGGCACGTGTGCTCGCCAGAAAGACAGAGACAGAAAGCGAGAAATCACCCCCAGGGGGGATGGCCATGCCGCAATCCCTTCTCCTTCATTCTCCTCTCGAGATCTTGGGCACGCACGCACACGCGCCCGGCATGAGTTTAAGCCACTGGGTCCGGGACTCAAACTCCCAACAGGGCCTCGAAGCCTATTACTTCCAGGCGAAAGCAGAGGTATAGGTTCCCCAGGTCAGCCAGGTGGCATGGTGGTTAAAGTGGCTGAATCCCATATGGCCAAGTGCATGATTTGAGTACTGGACCTAGCAAGTCTGAAAATACACTGGGCGCATGTGTGAGCACGCCCAGAATCCCAGGAGGAGAGTGGAGAAGGGATTGCGGTGTGGCTGTCTTCCCTTTCCCTCTCTCTGTCTCTCTCAGGTGAGCACATGTGCCCTATGGCAAAAACCTAAAAAAAGAAAAAAATAGCATAATGAAACAATTAGGGAACTTTAAACATTGGTTGGATATTTACTGTATCTAAGGAATTACTTTCTTCTTCTTCTTTTTTTTTTTTTTTTGAGGGGTTTTTGCTTTAGGTTCCAGTCTCTACCTTCAAAGTTGGCAGTATCTACCCTCAGGCTCTCGGGACTGACCAGGTAGGGTGTCATCTCCCTGCTGAAGGCAGGGTTTGCCAGTGCTCTCACCAATTCCTTTGCTTATTCCTAAGGTCTTTATACTGTTATTTATTCCTCGCTTGACACATAACCATTTCACAATGATTATTATTATTATTTTTTTTTTTAAGAAAGATTTTTGCTGTAGGGTGCATGCTCTTGCCAGAGAGACAGAAAGCAAGAATTTACCTCTGGTGGGATGGTCATGCCACAGTCCCTTCTCCTCCATTCTCCTCTTGGGATCTTGGGCACGCACGCACACCCACTCAGTGTGAGTTTTAAGCCACCAGGTCAGAGACTCGAACTGCAGTTGACTACATGGGAGTCCAGCGACATAACCATTAGGATATGTTTTCTTTTTTTTTTTTTTGAAAGATTTTTGCTATAGGGTACATGTGATTGCTGGAGAGACAGACAGAATGGGAAAAATCACCCCCAGGGAGGCTGGTGGTGCTATTAATCCTGTCTCCTCCACCGTCCTCCCAGGATCTTAGGTATGCAAGCACACATGCCCAGTATGAATTTCAAGTGAGTTTCACGCCTCTGGGTCGGAGGGTTGGAACCGCGGTTGGCAGCGCAGGATTTCAGCAACATAACCACTACGCCATCTGCTGGTCCCTCGGCACATTGTCTAAGCCCCTGGGACCAGAATTCAAACTGCAATCTACGCCGTGGGATCTGGCTCCCTTAACTCCTAAGGCCACAGGGCCAGCCCCAATTCTGCTGGTTTAATGGAAGTAAAACAAAATATCATCTACATGCATCTGAAACAATGTGAACTCACACGTTTTGCGTGATTATTATTTCAAATACTCATTAAAATAAGACCATGAATACTAAAATTAATGTGCCACCAAAACCGGCCCCAGGCTACCAGCAGTGGCATAAGCCTCTGTACAAGAGGCTTCGAGTTTCTGTTAGCCTGAACCCTCTGGGTCTCACAGCATGTTGTGACCTGCGTGGGGAGCGGCACCCCTACCTATAGTCCACGTGGAGATGGGGCTCTGGTTCCCCAGGATCTTGGTCTGGTTCGGGTATTTCCAATTGAAGAACGCGTACTTCTTCTCAGAAGCCGTGCACGGCAAATCCACAGTGTCCCCTGCTCTGCTCAGTACGACCTCCTTCCCCTGAGCGGCCACTGGGAGTAGCGCTGAGTGGAGAAGGGCGTCAGGCGTCAGCGTTTCTTGGGGTGGGTGGCTTCCCCTTCTCCCACCAGCCCTCCTCCCAGCCCGGCTCTGGCTCCGAGCACTCACCCAGCTGCAGCACCAGGAGCAGGTGACTACGCCAGACTGGGCGGTCCATCGTGGTGGGCGGGGCAGCCCACAGAGACTGCAGGACCTGCGGGACATACTGACCGTGAGCGGGCATTTGCAGGACCGGGGCACACGGGAGTGACATGCAGTCTGCCCTCAGGACCCTTGGAGCCAGCAGTGAACTGGACTTGCACCCCCGAAGCGAACACAGAGTGCTGTGCCAAAGTGCTAGGCCTTGACCCTGAGCACCAAGGAGCCAGGACAGGAATTTTAAAACATAATTATGTATTTAACTTTTAATTTATTATTATTTGTTAACTTGCTATCTAACACATGTACTCACCAGAGAGAGACAGAGAGAGAGAGGGCAAGTGAGAAAGCAACCTGCCAGGTTCAAGACTAGTCACGTGGGAATCCAGAGTCCCAGCCACATGCCACTTGCTGGCCCGAGGACTTTTCTTTTAGATTTTTGCCACAGCTGGCCCCACTGCTGCATTCTGAACAGTACATGGGGCATGGAGAGCTTTAGGAAGCTCCGTGTGGCATCCAGAGACCAGATGCGTGGAGCAAGCAGAAGCTATAGATAGGCCCTGGAGGGAGGGCGGAATGGGGCTCTGGTGTCTTTGAAGTTCAGGCTCAGCCTACAGTGGGCGAGAGCAGGGCAGGGCCGTGACTGCCTGGGGTCAGGGTCAGCACAGTCTGGCCCCCGGCTGGCCTGACCAGATTCCGCCTGCAGACCTAATCTCCCCTGGCCGTCTTTCTGCTCCCAGCAGGCCTTGGTGCTCTGAGCACCACAGCGATCGCCCACTCTGCTCTGAACAACCTCTGCACCTGTGGATGCCCCCCGGTCTCCCCTCGGGTGTACCCCACCTCCCCGCTCTGGGGCAGTGATCGGGTTCCCATCTCTCCCACCACCTCGAGCTCCCTGAGCACAGGGACTGCGCTGGCCAGCTGGGGGACCTGGCAGGCCAGCTGGAGGAGGGCCGAGGACTCTGGCTGTTTGGTTCGCTCAGAGCAAATCAGTCAAACGGAGGAGGGGAAGTCCCGGGCTGCCTCTTTCTGTAATCGACATATTGACTTGTTTTGAACATGGGTCGTTCATGCGTGGGTAGACACCCAGCTCTGACCTCGACGACACCAAGTCATCCCAATCCGAGCTGCCTATTCTTGAGGGAGCCCTGCCAGCCGTCACCAGGTTCTGCCCTGCTCTCTACCAAGGGACCGACTGCCAGACTCCCTGGCCCTGCAGTGACCATGGGGGCTGGCTGATGAGATAGCTGTCAGAAATGGGGGGTGGTCAGAGAAAGAGGCTGGGCATTTGCCCCTACCCTCTCCCAGGCTCAGGGCATATTTTGTAGCAATAGCTGTGTCCACCCTCTCCCCACCCCACTGCAGCCCCGTCGGGTGCCCCTTAGCCACAGCCTGAGCCCTTGTGGTTTCCAGAAACACCACTTCTACCTCTTCAGGTCTCCTCCTGTGCTTGCTAGTGTCTATGTGCCTTGACAGGCTGGGTAGTTTTTTTTTTTTTTTTTTTTTTTAGAATTTTTTTTTTTTTTTTTTTTTTTTTTTGCTATAGGGCATGTGCACTCGCAGAAAGAGAGGGAAAGTGAGAAAGCAAGCTGCCAGGTCCAAGACTCAAACCAAGGTTGGCCATGTGAGTCCAGCACCCTTAACTACCTTGCCCCCAGCTGGCCCTGGCTGGTTGGTTCTGGACCCTAGCCACACTTCCGTAAGTAACTTCCTTTCCAGAGTCTCTCGAGCTATCTGAGATGGACTTTCTTTCTTTCTTTCTTCTTTCTTTAATGGTTTTGGCCATAGAGTGTGTGTGCTTGCCAGAGAGAGACAGAGAGAGAGAGACAGTGAGAGGGAAAGTGAGAAATCAACCATCCCCCAGGGGGCCAGCCATGCTGCAGTCCCATCTCTTCTGTTCTTCTCCTGGGATTTTGGCCAAGCACGCACACGCATCCAGTGTGAGTTTTGGATCCGGGATTTGAACCATATTTGGCCATGTGGGAGTCCAGTGCCTTAACCACGATGCCACCTACTGGCCCCTGGATTGTTTCTTGTTGAGCTCTAACACACAATCCATGGTAGAGATGTAGCACTTGGGGAGATGCTGAAGGTTAGTTCTCCTAAGGATACTTGGGAGAAGAATTTTAAAAATCCCTCTCCAGTTACTCCCAAAGCTTGGAAAGGCATCGCCCAGGGCCTAGCATGTGGAAGGTGCTGGGATAGATAGATGATGACTATAGATAGGTATAGATAGATGATTGGTAGATGACTGAGATAGATAGATAGATAGATAGATAGATAGATAGATAGATAGATAGATAGACAGATAGACAGATAGAGATAGAGAGATGATAGATAGATATAGATAGATGATAGATAAATATAGACAGATAGCTAGTTAGCTAGAGATAGATAGATAAATAGAGATGATAGATGATAGATAGATATAGATGATGGATGAGAGAGAGACAGACAATAGCAGCACATAGGCAGATATACAGGAGGCAGGCCAGCAGATCTGGCTTATCAGGCAGCTAGGAGGAAAGGTCAGGAGGGAGGTTTCCGGGAAAGGAGAGACCTGTCTAGGCACAGATGCAGTTGTTTACGAATTAGCTGAGTTAGAGTTAGCCCAGGGCAGGGGAAGCACTTTAAGGAAGGCTGGGGTGAGAAGCATGGGGAGGGGCAGCCTTACATCTGGGAGTGGTGCCTGCCCCAGACCCTCTGCGTTTGTTCTGGTGGCTAGGCAGAGGTGAAGGAGAGGCAGGGCCCATGTGGGAGAATACCCCGCCCTGGAGCTCCGATTCCCCTTGCCCTCTGCGCTGCCTGAGGAAGGCTACAGGTGCTCTTGGTGCCTGCCTCAGATGGTGGCCCTTTGGTTCCCCTACTCCACGACCCTGGGGTCTGTGTGGAGGCCGACTCCTGGCCTCCAGCCCCGTGCACGCTGTCTCAGCCCAGGGCTCCGCTGAGGGGAGGAGGCTGTGGGTTTCCAGCGCTGTTTGCTTTGGTGCTTTGAGCTTCCGCTGCCACCCCTGAGATGTGGCCTCTGATTCCCACATCCTCAGCGTCCCCAGTGGTGCCCTACCCCGGTACAGTAGCATCCTGTATCCTGTGTACATCGCCCCTAGAGACACCGGGAGGCCTGCTGGTCCCCCAGGTCCTGGCGCCGCCCTCCCGCCCGCCCCCTTCCTCTCGCTTGTTCCTCCGCATCTGTTCTTCCCAGCCCCTGCCTGCGGCCTTCAGCTCCCTCAGCTCCCGTCTGGGTCTCTTCCTCTGGGCCTCAGATACCAGGAGGCAATCCGGGCTCTCACGGGATTGCTCTCCTTACGGCGTCCCTGTGGCCTGGCTCCTTTCTCATCTGTCCCCCTCCAGCTGCCACTAAGCCCGGTTTCCTCTGGCCTGTAAACAAGCTCCCTGGCTTTGATGTGAAGGGGCCTGCAGAGCCCGGCCCTGAGCTGAGGGTGGATGCAGGGAGAGGCCAGGGTGGGAGGGACGGGGTGGAAACAGGGAAATGGACAGATTTCCTGGGAAACACACAGAGGCCTCGAGGGAGAAGGCACGGGAGGGAGGGAAGAGAGGAGCAGCAGCTCGTTAAAGGAACAGCGGGCGCTGCACACAGCCCCTCGCTCACCCAGTGCAGGGCGTGCAGGGGGTGCAGGGGAGGTGGAGGCAGAGAGACAGAGGCAGGACACACCCGGGCAGGAGGCCCAGACAGAGACCAGGAAAAGCAGGAGGCCCAAACGGCAACAGGCAGCCTGCAGCTCCCCCCTCATGGGCGAGAAGCGAGGTGGGAGAGGAAGAGGGCACAGCCCCCCCAAAAAAAAAATAAACTTCCTAGAGACCATGACTGCTCTGAGGGACCCTGCGGGTTCGTGGCTGCAACCTCCACCATCCTCTCCTTTGCCTCAGACACCCACATCGGGGGAGTCGGGCCCTCCCTCCTCCCCTCGCCCCCACTAAGGTCCAGGGCAGAGCCGAGCCTTCCAGCCTCGCGACCCCAAATGCCCGCTCACCGACCCACTTCTAGCACCCGGGTATCTGGGCGCCAGCTTCACCAAAGTCATTTTACTTGACAGACATTTATGGGGTGTCTACAACGTGCAAGACCCTTGGTCTACCCCTCTCTCCTCCACACCATCTCACTATTATGGCCAAGGTCAGGCCTAAGGCCGGGCTGCTTCCAGGCTATGCCTAGGCCCAGCTGGTGAGAGGAGTTTTTAGTTAAGGGTTGACCTCTTCTAGATAAGCACCCCTGAAATGAAAGAGGAAAGTCAACTCCTAAGTCTCTCTAACCCTGTCCTCAGGAGCTCTTTTATCAGATGTTGAGGGCGGCCATTTTGTAGCCACCTATAGAATCTGACACGGCACAAAAAAATTGTTCGCCAAAATGTGAGCAGCCGTGACCTCCCCATCGGCTTCTCCTCTCGGCTTCCCTCGGTGTGCCCTACAAAAGCAGGACATTCAGGAGGACTGAGCCCACTCGGAGGGAAGTCTTTGAGTTAGTGAGAGAGGGATTTTTTTTCATCCCAGAAATCTGTCCCAGGACCAGCCTACGGCCAGGAAGGCAGGGACACCTGGGGCCGCGGGGATGGCAGGCTTTAAGGCCATGAGGCCTTGGCAGAGAGGGGCTTCCCTCGGTGTGCCCTACAAAAGCAGGACATTCAGGAGGACTGAGCCCACTCGGAGGGAAGTCTTTGAGTTAGTGAGAGAGGGATTTTTTTTCATCCCAGAAATCTGTCCCAGGACCAGCCTACGGCCAGGAAGGCAGGGACACCTGGGGCCGCGGGGATGGCAGGCTTTAAGGCCATGAGGCCTTGGCAGAGAGGCAAGACCTGAAGGTGTGAAGGCCAGAGGCCGGAGTTGCAGTTGCGTAGGGCATCCCATGGTCGAGTCTCCGTCTCCCCCACGCTCAGGGAAGTCTGCAAATCCTTTTCCAACTCTCCCAGACTCCTGAGACACTTAAAACCAATTCTCTTTGCATCGGTTTTTCTAATGACATATTTACCTAAAAAATGTGTCACTTTTGGAGCATTTCGTACGTCAGAGTTCAGTTTCAACACTTGGAGAAGAGCTTCCCCGTTTGATGAATCGTGTTGAAGTTAATAACTATTTTAAAGCTACCTAAAGTAGGACGGTTTAAACACAGTATTCAAAAATCCTGAAAACGCACAAGGGTAAACAAAGACTTAAAACAAGTGCAAACATAAAAGTTAAAAGGGACTACGCGTATCATGTGTCTTACGAAACGCCTGCGAGTATGAGTTTTGGTCTGAATTTTTGGTCGTTGTGTTCTCGGGGAAATTGATTTGGGCGTAACTAGATCTCACTTCTCTTTCTCATTTTCTTGTTTTCATCCTTTTTTCCTCTATCCATTTCATTTTTATAGGTCTCCTCCTGCCTTCTTATTTATGTTAAAAAATGTTTCCCTCTCCTCCTCCCCTCTTTTTCTCCTCTTTCCCCTCTTACTTTTCTGTCCCTGCACTGCCCATGACGAGCGTGTTCGCGGCCTTGCTCAGCCGGGGATAACCTCAAGTCCCAGTTCCAGTTCTGGCCTCACAGTTGAAGCCGGCCCTGTGGCCGAGCACCCTCACTCCTGGTACTGAGAGTGGGGAAGGGGCAGAGAGGAGCAGGGCATAGCCCTGGCCTCTTGAAGCCATGGTTCCAGTGGGCGATCACTACGCAGGACAAGCCCCACGAAAAACGCAAGCGGAGGTGGTCAGGGCTGCGGGCACAGTCCCGAGTCCAGCACGTCCCAACACCTCTGCTGCCATGTTCCCCTCCACATCCAAGCCCTGGGGAAAGCGTGGAGTGCGCTGGTCCCTCTCACCTCTAGGTCTGTCGGTGTCCCCCTTCCCCTCTGCTGCTCTGCTCCTGGCACAGGTGCGTCTGTGAGGGCCGGGCGCTCTGTAACAGGGTGCCCTGTGGGTAGAGCTTTATTGCTCCTGCAGATACGCACTTAACATGCAGAGAGACAGGAAGCCCAGCAGTGAGGCTCCTCCACAGCCCAGACCTGGGCCGGCCCCCAACGTCACCATGTAGGGCTGGGGTCTCCACCTCCTGGCTCTTGGGGAAGTTGTCAAAGTGAAAATGCCAGAGTCAGAGGAAAAAGTTAAACACAACGAGCCTGAAGCCTGGCCGTCGTTGCCACTGTGGGGTAGCAAGCAGAAGATTGCACCAGATTCCTACCAAACCTGGCTGGGCTTCAGGGGAAGAAGCGGGAGGCAAGTGGAGACACGGAGAGCAGCTGTGGGCTGCCAGCTCCTCGCTCCGGGCCCTAAGGGCCTTTGTGCCAGGGCTACCTCCAGGGCTCCCTCCGGCAGATGGCCCAGTGTGGCAGAAAGGCCCAGACTGCGAGGAGACCTGAGATGCCCACCCAGAGTGACAATGGACCAGACTCTGGCCACGCCACATGGGCTTCTCTGTAGCCGGATCCCGCGTGAGCTCAGATGTGGATGCTGAGCTGCCGTGGGGCACCTCCACTCGGATGTTCGACAGGCCTGGCAACCTCACACGTCCTCACATGTCCCCACTCGTCCTCACCACCTGCATAGACTGTCTCCGGGCCCACTTCTCCAGGTGTTCAACTCGGTGAGGGCTTCACCACCACCCAAGTTGCCCAAGCCAAGTAAAAATACTGTAACTTATTTATTTATTATTTTTAATTTTGCTATAGGGCACGTGCGCTTGCCAGAGAGAGGCAGAAAGAGAGAAAGAGAAAATGAAAAATCACCCCCAGAAGAGATGGTCATGCCATAGTCCCTTATCCTCTATTCTCCTCTTGGGATTTTGGGTGTACCCTCACACATGTGTGTCTTTCTTTCTTTTTTTTTTTTTTTTGGAGAGGTTTTCACTATAGGGCGCGTGCACTCACCAGACAGACAGAGAGAGACATAGAGACAGAAAGGGAGAAATCACCCCCCAGGGGGGATGGTCATGCCACAATCCCTTCTCCATTCTCCTCTCGGGATCTTGGGCACGCATGCACACGCGCCCGGCGTGAGTTTTAAGCCACTGGGTCCGGGACACGAACCGTGGTCGACTACGTGGGAGTCCAGCAACATAGCCATTACGCTAACTGCTGGTTCCCACACGTGTGCCTTTCAAACCACCAAGTCCAGGACTTGAACCACACAGTCAACCGTGTGGGATCCAGTGGCCTTAACCACCATGCCACCAGCTGGCCCTGGCTGTAACCTTTGACTCCTCCTGTACTTATTTACCCATTCCTGTGGGCGTGACCTTTCAAGTGGCTCCAGAGTCTATCCAGGTCACTCTGTACCACTGCCGCGTTCCAACCCAAGGTGCCACTGTCATCCTCTGACTAGACCACAGCCCCTGCCTGCTCACAGATCTCCAGGCCTTGCCGTCCTGCTGTCCTCCATGTGGCCCCCGAGGGACTGTTAAAGACGCGCGTGTGGGGAGCAGACGGTGGCACAGCGGTACGAGAGGGTGCTCTGAGAGGCTGCCTGTCTCAGTCTGCTACCGCATTGCTGACAGAAATACCTGAGATGGGACGATTTATACAGACAATGGAGGTTAGTTGGCAAAACTGGAGGCTGGGAAGTCCGAAGGCATTACCAACTAGTGGAAGGCAGAGCCCGGGCAGAGCGGCGTGCAAGGCCCTCCTTTCCTCTCCTTACGTGGCCCCCAGATACAGATGGCCTGCCCTAATGCCGCTATCCCACCCTGAAGCCTACCCTGGGACCCTGCGGAGGAATTACATTTTCACTTAACAGGGCTAGCAAGTGGCATGGAGGTTGGGGCACTGGACTCCCACATGGCTGACCACGGTTTGAGTCCCAGACCTGGAAGCTTGCCTTCTCGCTTTCCATCTCTCCCTCTCTCTCTGGTCAAATTTAAAAATAATAATCGATAATACTTTAACTTTTTTTTTTTCTGGAGCCAACAGATGGCATTGTAGTTAAGGGTGCTGGACTCCCATTTATCTGACCATGGTTTGAGTCCTGGATCTGGCAGCTTGCTTTCTAACTTTCTCTCTCTCTATCTCTCTGATGAAATTAATTAATAAATTTAATTTAATTTTTAAAACAATCTTTTTTTGGGGGGGAGGTTTTCACTATAGGGCGCGTGCGCTCGCAAGACAGAGAGAGACAGAGAGACAGAAAGCGAGAAATCACCCCCCAGGGGGGATGGCCATGCCGCAATCCCTTCTCCTCCATTCTCCTCTCAGGATCTTGGGCACACACGCACATGCGCCCGGCATGAGTTTCAAGCCACCAGGTCTGGGACGCGAACTGTGGTCGACTACGTAGGAGTCCAGCGACATAACCATTACGCTAACTGCTGGTTCCCAAAATAATCTTAAAATTAAAAAAAAATAAAATTCCCCCACTTAACAGTCTTATAAGTGACAGATGAGAAAATCTGCAGTCAGGCCCCAATACATGCACCTCTGGGGGACATCCAGCCACTGTGTACCAAGACCAGGATCCAAAACGCGAACGTCTGGGGGACAAACCATTATCCAGACGGTAACACTGACCACGTGGGAAGGTTCTGCATCCGCATCCAGAGACCTCCCGAAGTGTGCCAGGCACATGTGGACTGGGGATCGGGGCCTGGCTGAGGCCGGGAGTGGATCGACAGCCTGCTGAGGGTGCCCTGTGTCTTTCACTCATGGAGGTAATAAATAAATCGTTTTATTCATTTATTTTATTTATTTATTTTTCAAGCCCCAGACCTGGTGGCTTACACGGTGGTGTGGTGGTTAAGGCACTGGACTCCCACGTGGTCTACTGCAGCTCAAGTCCTGGACCTGGCAGCTTGCCTCCTCACTTTCTTTGTCTTTCTCTTCCTCTCTCTGTCTGCCTCTTTGGTGAATGCATGTACACTATAGCAAACAAAATATCCAAGGGCAGCAGTTTTACTCCAGTTACTTTTACGATGTCATTGCGATGTCAACATGGTGACTGATGAAGGCAAATAATGACCTATGATTTTTTTGTTTGTTTGAGAGAGATTTTTTTCCCTATTGGGCACATGTGCTCACTGGAGAGACAGAGAGAGACAGAAAGCAAGAAGTCATCCCTCAGGAGAGGATGGCCATGCCACTATCCCTTTTCCTCTATTCTCCTCCCGGGATTTTGTGCATGCACACACATGCACCCGGTGTGAGTTTCAAGCCACCAGGTCTGGGATTCAAACTGCGGTCAGCCACATGCAAGTCCAGCAACTTAGCCACTGCACCACATGCTGACCCCATGACCTATAATTCTTAGGAAAATAGCTTGACCTGGAAGACCCCTGAAAAGAACCCAGGGACTCCCAAGGGTCTGGAGGCCACACTTACATTTGGAAAGTCCCTGATGTATTTGTTTTTTCTTTTTTTGTTTTCTTTCCTTTCTTTTTTTTTTTTCATTTAATTTTTTCCATAGTGCATGTGTGCTTGCCTGAGAGAGACAAAGACAGAGAAGAAGGAGAAAGCATTCCTCCATGGGGTATGATCATGTCACAATCCCTTCTCCATTTCTCCCCCCTTTCGGGATTTTGGGCATGCACGCAAACACACATAGCATGTTTCTTGAATCCGGGTCCAGGATTCAAACCACAGGGTTGGCCATGTGGGCTCTGGCTGCCTTAACCACCAGGACATGGAGTGGCCCAGATGATTTTAATTCATTCTTTCAATCTTAGCTATCTCTATAATTATCTCCAAAATTTTTCTCCATCTTCTTAGGGAAAGGACACTGGGCTTGTGCCTGAGCTCATAGATACCTATATTTAAGCTGTATTTCCCAGCTTCTCTTGCAGTGAGATGTGGCCGAGTGACGCAACTTTGGTTAAGGACCAAGTGCAACCTGGGCTGCTCCTTCAAGGAGGGCGTGTGCTATTCCACAGGCCTCCTCCTTGCAGACTGGAATGCAAACACACTCCCTCTGTTCACCGC